GTACAGCAGATTACTTTTTAAAACAGGGTGGTGGAGTCAGAAAATGTAACTGTAGTTCAAGAAAATAATTGGTATAGAAATACATTGAGTAATAAGGAGTGGTTATAGTTGGAGCTGGAAGGGACATCCTTGATGATAATAAGCTCCTTGTTGTCCCTTTAAAATTTTATGAAATTTATGAATTGATAAAGATTGCTTCTTTTTAAAAGAAATCAACATAATTTTTTTGTTAGTCATTATTTCCAAGATGTATCTTTATTTAGAATTTACAATTCAAAGTGACAAAAAAAGATTGTATAGTGTAAATGAACCATCTATATTTCTATTTTTTGTTAAGAACCCGTATCATCTATAAATATTGGAATATTTCCAATCATTTTGACAATTAACATCTTTAGAAAAATAAGATTTCAAACCTGAATTAAAAAACAACAAGTCATCATTATCTCTCTATCTCTAAATGATAAGAACACTTCAGTATATAAAAATTGGGTCTCTCACAATGCATGTAATCTTCATTACCTGAAATGATGAAGAAGACGTGAGCTCTTGTAGTTTGAGGAACATGTCGAAGAACTTCAAGATCTTCTATACTCAACAACGTGCAAGACAACAAGCAACAAGACAAATTAAAAAAGGAAAGAAATATATCAAGCAAGACAAGTGAAAAAAAAAGAACAAGTTCAACATATTACAACTCCGCAGCAACAGGCAGTCTGAAAAGTAAAAGAGATGAGTGGCGATCTGTGATGACAACCAACTGGCTGAATGAACAGTTTCAATTTGTCAATTATAAAACTGGTAGTTAAAGGCAAAAACTAGCAGAGAAGAAAGCAGGACTTTGAGAAGCAGTTACGAAGAACAGTGAAGGTGAGGAGATTCAAGAAAAGCACGTTTGGGATGTTGAACTTAAAAAAAGAGGGTAAGAATGTTATTGCCATCATTCATATAATTACTTTTCATCATCATGCATCAATCAAAGATGCTATGAGTTTTAAAAAGTTATTTATATTTTGGGTTTAAAGACTGTCAAGAGATCAAGTTAGTTTGTCAGTATTCTTAACTTCAGCATGTAACAAAACTAAATAAAGATGTTAAAGCAAGAAACAGGAGTGGAATGACAGCTTGTCTGCACCCAAACATTCAAAGGAATCTCACCAAGAAAGTAGGCGAGGTGACGAGTGACGTCAACTTCAGGAACATATTGAAGAATCGAAGGATAATCTGTGGGTGTAGTTTAATTAAGTCACTTCCTAATTCACAATAAAACATCCGGAAAAATCAAGAACTATTTCATGATAATGGAAATATTTCTCTCTCATGTTACATAATTCTATGAGAATCAACCTAAGATGAGGTATCAATACAATTCCCTAGCATAGGATTTATACAGCTTGGTTGGAGAATGTGATTGTGGTAAGACTTGGGATACAAATCACTTCTTGATTTTACTACATAAACCGATCAACACGTACCATAAGATAAAGCTTTATGGGAAGGATTACAACAAAACTACCAAGAAAAAGTGTGTAAGAAAAATGTGTTAAACACTATATAAAAGCATGGTTTGCTGACATTTAGAATGAAATACTAAAGTGAAAAGACAGAAATGTTGCAAAATAACACCAATACACACGTGATTCTGCTGAAATAATCTTTCATAGTACTAGCAAAACAAAAAAGTTTATAAAATGAAAGCATCATTTTTTCTCTGAAGAATTCAGATAAACTAAATGAGAAAATTTGTTCTGCTTTTGTATAAGATAATTTATTAGCAGGTGAATGGTCTATACTTTAATATAAAACATACTTCGTAATACAGCTACAGGTAACAGCAATAAAATGATGTGTTTTTTTTGCATACCATAGAGGATGCTAATCACAAAGAAGCATGACATAACAACAGTTCTGAAGTTAAAGCATGGGCTACTGATGTCTGCAGAATTTTGAAACAAAATGAAATATATTTAATATGAAGGAACTGTGAACTAAATACTTAAGAAAATATAGCAAAACAATACAGATTTGACAGTCAAACAAATAGTGCACAGCTGACTCCCCTGTTAAGGTGGACGACAGCCAGGAAAATACCACCAGGCAAAACACGAGATCAACAAACACTGGGAAAACAGAAAGAGTGCAGAAAGCTGTATAACTTCTCCTGGTGAGAATTATAGAAAATACAAGGAAATACTGGTTGAAAAACCTAAAAACATTACATATAAGAGGAAGGAATGTGTATGTTTCACATTAAATTATGAAATATCTAATGAAACTCAGACAAATTTATTTGCTAATCTACAAAATGTTCATGCCCTCAAACTCCAAATTGTTACAATTAACCACACAGTGAAAGCAATAATTTGAACACTAGAAGTTTTGACTTAACTAAACTTGAATCATATTATTATGAAAAATATTTTATATATTAAAATTGTTTATTTAATTGAACAGTTAGTAGACATATGTTAGACTACTACTTTGTATTTCTACAGAAACAGTCAGCCAATCTTTAGTCACTAAAACACAAAAGCTCAGCAAATCCTTTAATGTATGTCTACAAACTTTTACTTAAAAATGTTTTATTAACTTAAATAAACATCACTGAGTTCAGTTTTGGAATAAAACAAGCAAGTTGGTAAAACAGGGATGTTCCTTCTGCATTACCCCAGTTTCTGTAGATAGGCATTCACTATGAATGTTATGAATTACAATTTAAACTTAGCTTCAATGGATTCAGTAAAGACATTATATTTTATGTATATAGGATGTAGAATCACAGTTTCATTACTATACTGACTTTATATTAAAAAGTAAGCTATCTGCATAATATTGTTTTTATTTCACAATTTTTTATTTGAAAATACTTTTAAGAGCACACACTGATCTCATCCTATCCTTGAATAAGTACATGTAGTCTAGTTTTAAAAAGTGCCCAATGCTTTTGTCAATCCAATAGCTTAAAGGCCATAAATAAATATATTTACAAATCAGTAAATATTATTAATTTTAAGATAAGTCTTACGAAGAATGTCAGATATGTGTGTGTAAAAATGGGTTAGAAAGTTTAAATAATCTTTTGAATTCACTGTTTGTTTGCATTTTGTTCTACTTAAATTGCATGGACAATCATGGCCTAATGTGGCCCAGTCAAATAATCAAAAATCTGACTGATAAATATATATAATTTTTTGTATGATATTGGTACAGACTAAATGATGATATAAATGATGAGTCATGTGTTAAGTTTCTAGTAACTAGGCCTACAGATGCATCTACTGACTACAGAATTTAATACCAAAAGGTTTATTGTAGATGCAAGTAATCAAGTGCATATAAAGTTTACAAGCTGTAAAAGACTGTCCGTTTCTCTGATCATTTTATATTTAGATTCAGAGCAAGACAAAATACATCACCAGCAAAATATCTGATGACTACACAGCAAAACATTCCCTATCGACCAGCTTGCTTTCATTTACTCCAAATATACAGATACCGCTTTCATAACTTGATTTTCATGCAGACAGACATAAGATATACAGAGGAGGTACATCATTCAAAAGAACATATCTGAAATCAACAGTATTTATAGTACTGAAGAACACATTTGGTGAAATGTAATAATAAAATCACAAAAAGTACACAACTCAATCACTACACATTTCAAAATTATATATCAAAATATAATAAAACATAAATATAAATTTTCAACAGACAACAGATAAAATCAATCAACTTTGTATCTATAACCTTTCCAATTCAGTTTGTAGGAGTTTGGATATTTCTTTTAAAAAATACTTTAACTACTTTAACTCACACTTTTACTTTAATTTAGAAAATTTTAATTTCTTCTAAAAACACTAACTACTTTAACTCGTACTTTTATTTTAAATTTAGAAAATTTTAATTTCTTCTAAAAACACTTTAACTCGCACTTTTATTTTAAATTTAGAAAATTTTAATTTCTTCTAAAAACACTTTAACTACTTTAACTCACACTTTTACTTTAATTTAGAAAATTTTAATTTCTTCTAAAACACTAACTACTTTAACTCGTACTTTTATTTTAAATTTAGAAAATTTTAATTTCTTCTAAAACACTTTTACTTTAATTTAGAAAATTTTAATTTCTTCTAAAAACATTTTTACTTTTAATTTTAAAAATTTTAATTTCTTCTAAAAACACTTTTACTTTAATTTAGAAAATTTTAATTTCTTCTACACACTTCATGTTAGTGTAGTTTATTAAACAGAAAAATACTAAGTTCACTTTCTAAAAAAACTGATTCTCTGTGTTAAAAGACTTAAAACTATATATCAAAATAAGATCCACATCACATACAAAACACAAACAGGAGATATCACAGGCTGACCTACCTCTACATTAGAGGCTGATTCTACAAGTGTATCCACCATCTGTTTACCAATAGTTCCATTCATAACATTTCCTAACAGAAATAATCTTTTAGAAATATTGCTACATAATTGGTTTACGAGTAATAACTGAATGCCAATATTATACTGATATTAGATACTAAATTTACATATCCTCAATGTTACTTTCCTGGGTGTCAGATTTTTGGTTATGTTATCTGTGTACAGTAAGTGTTAACAGCATAAAATATAATAGCATGAAAACCTTACTTTAATGGTGTAGAAATCCTTTTAAACAATATTTCAATTTTGTATTTATCATTATAGCTAACTTTATTTCCTTTGTTTTCTCAAACTATATATATAGTTATGTATTTTATTAGCATAAACTTAAGCCATATAAACAATTTTATTATTAAAAGTTATCTAAGAATTTTATTAGCTAGTCAGCTCAACACTAATCATCAATGAATTTTAGATAGTTGTTACGTATCTGCTCGTTTGATAACTTCCTTAATTTCCGGTATAAATTCTTTCCGAGGCACTTCAGCGATACACGTCCTTTCTTAATTAAAACTACTTTATTCTTTCTCGATACAACTTTGTGATACACTTAACAACTTTTATAACACACGCTATAAATCACAGTGATTCACACACTTTACTTACGGTGCCTACTGTTCGCTTGACTCAGTTATCTCTATCTTCAATCTATCTGCATATCTATCTCTTAATTTTTTTTGTCGGGCTTATATATTAAAAAAAAGGGCATCCTGAACAAACTAGGAAATTTATGATCAATCGAGAAACTCCTTGCACACGCCACCAGCACCAATGTGCCAGAAGCGTCATGTGACTTCCGCTGTCATAACATAGTTATCACAGTTTTAAATCCCAGGGCAAAGAATAAGAGATCTAACGTAAATATTACTGAATATATCTCATAGTGGTTTAATTAACAATACTACAATTTTATAAATATTTCTATAATTACTTAATATAATAATTACAAATGTATATAACATAAGCGATGTATTTCTTGCTATCTCTCTTTCATTTTCACCATGAGTTACTGATCAAATTACATTGTAAATGGCAAAACTTGCGAAACCACAAAAAGAAGTGTCATATTACATGTTGTCCACACATTACGGAACCACTTTCTTAATTGAATAGATTAGAAACAACTCCAGATAAACAGTTGTGGTTTGTAGTATATGAAGGACTGATGTCTCAATATGATGAAGATATTGGATATGGCACCAATTCATCCCAAATAACCCACAAAATTGCAATAATTACTCTGAAGATTCTGGCACATATTCATAGGTAGTTCAATTATTACTTGGACAACCTTTAAGGCTTGAATGGTGCCTATGTCAAGATATATACTACCTGAATCACTAGCCATGGACAAACCAGAGGTGTTAGTCTATTATATCACAAACTGCAATTATTTACCTTATGTAATTATCATTATATTCAACTGATAAAATGGTTCAATGATTTATGGAGATCCTGTATTATTATTTTAGGTTTAGCTTTTGAATAGAGGTTAAAATAGTCGTAAACAATCCTGAACATGATATTTAATCTTTTCTTTCTTGTACCAACCTTCTAGCATACTGAGCATCATGATAACCATTTCTTTCTGCAACTCCAGCAACTCGGTCAACAGGTCAAGCTGGCTGGCACTCTAAAAGATGAAACCAAAAGAGAATGGTAGCTCTATTTAGTATAAACTGTTCAGTGACATCAGCTTTAACGTATGTTTATAAACCATGCATTCTTTAAACAAGGCACTGGCACACGGGGCTGGTGGCCCGATTCTATTTGACAGTGCCCTGAATCTCCACTTGATGTCTTGAAAAATTAGAATAAAAAACCATGATCAATACCATACTGAAATGTCAAACATTCCCACACCTATGGGTCCGAGCCAAGAATCTTTTAAGTGCTTCTGCTAATATCTATTAAATTTGTCAAAAAAAAAAACTAAAACATTATTGTGAAAAACTATCTGCATTCAACACAATTTTATCTCTATTGGTTTCTTATGATTTGTCAGCTTTTGCCACTTAAACCACAACTTTTATTAAAGTATTATACTACATATACAAATAGCATTTCAAAGAATCTTTCATCTCTCATTATCCAGCTCAAGTGACAAGTTCTGGTATTGAAAGAAAGGCCTCCTGAGTATTGACTTGTGGGACCAAAAGATAGATCTGAAATGCCATTTTTATGCTTCTGATTTTGAATCAGCAATGGACAAATTAAGAGAAATGTGGAAAAAATCCATCTGCAGTTAACATTATTTTCGTCACACATTTTAGACCTATTGGTTTCAAATATTTCACCAGCTTTTCATGTTTAAACCAAAAAAACATCAATAAATTGTACTTAGACAATGATACCTTGATTAATAACATCTACATTCACAATATTCTAATTTTGCCATTATTCTTTACCTTTGAGAGTTTGTCTTGCATGTGGGCAAAAAGGAACAAAAATCCACCTACTGCATCCCACAATCTACTGTGTGCTAAGGCCTGTTGGTTCAAAGGGCATGGTCCCTACAGTAGAACAAATGTTTGTATAAAATACTGCCTGAAAGACTTTCAAATGAATAGTCTAGAAAACATGACATCATCTTATGTAGATCTTGTTCTTCACAAAAATGTAAGTTTTCCAAATAATTAAATCATACACAGTTTCAAACTTTGAATATCGTTAGTAAAAGCTGAAGTGTTATTTAACTCCAGATATTTTAAAGGCAGCATATCATCCTGTAAAGTAAATTTTTCTGAAAGAGAAAAACTTAAATTGGGTAGGATTTAAATTTGCAACTGTACTACACAAACAAATGCTTTAACCAACTAAGCTAGATGTCTCAAATACCTGAGGTCTCAGTTATTGTTATCTTTTTTCCACATCATTGGCCCTTAATAACTAATAGTTCTGGGGGTTAATTAAACCCTTTTTTTATCTTAATTTTCCTTATGTTTGAGTTAAGACAATTATTTTAAAATTAACATAATATTTTAGAGATACAGTCAAAATGTGACAATAATTTATACTAAGGTACATATTAATTTGTTGAAAGTTGTAAGTATTTTAAGCATACAGCATAAACAAAATAAAACATAACTTTATAAACTAAAGAGAATTAAAGGTGCTTAATTGAAATGTATAAAAATATTTCTAAATGAAAATCTCTTTGTTTGAAGTTAAGCACAATGGGCTATCTGTGTTGTGCCCACCAAGGGTATCAAAACT